GCGCGTGGGCGCCGCGAGAAGCATCCACTCGACCGAGGACATGGTGCAAGTATAGTTTTTGCTAGGGGGCAGGAACCCTATGCGGATATGCAGTCAACCTCGCAGGCACCTCCACCGAAACTCAATCCAAATTCATGGACTTGAGCTCATGTCACTTTCGGCTCTCTATGGATTTCGCGAGTTACGGGTTGTGCTGGGAACTCGTATCCTACAGTCTGCTCTGTACGTGGGCCCCTGTCTCCACTCGATTGCTTAATGCCCATTGTCCAAATAGCCTCAGGATGCTTGTGATGCACTGCCCAGCGTCCATTGCATCACTCGCATCACCAGACCCCATTTTCAGTGCTTTTCTGACCCTCGCTTTGGAGCGCTCCCCCACCAAGCTCTGGGTTTACCCTCTCAAAAGGTCCCCTCAACGACCACCCCCCCCACACCCCCTTAACTCACTTCGTTCGCTCTAAAAGCTCAAGCCTAGCCTATCGGCTGGCTTTCGTTATATATATATATATATTGGCATGGTATGGCCATAAGAAATCACCAGAAATCCACCAGGAACAACTCCGCCCACCTTCTTCCTTTGTGCTGCAGCCTCTTTGCGAGCCTCCTGCAAGTAAGATCTTTGTTGGTGGTCGGCTCTGCTGACGGGTGCTCATGTCACAGTCACAGCCATCTACACTGTGCAAGCAGCAAGTGCTATCACAAGCAGAGGTGTTGTCTTTTGGGAATTTTGGAAACAAACTCCACTTTAAAACACCAACCATCTCATGCTCGGAATGCATTCAATAATCCTTCTCCAAGCAAACAAAGAACATTGTACTTGGTGGCTCCTTCACCGCCTTCGCCAAATGATTTCCCCTTGGCAAATCGTAGAAGTGGGCAGGAGAATGTCAAGCGTTTCTGTTCAGATCGACATTTTCTTGTCTTCATTGTCTCTAAGCCTTCAGGTGGGTTGCTGCATTTTGCGCTTGGACCTCAAGAGGTTGGACTTCAAACACACCTTGGATTTGTTAAAACTCCGATATGGCTTTTCACTTGGAGAGCCGATTTGGTTGAACATGAGGAAGTGCATCTCAGCAGTCCACTCTCTCGGTGTCCCGGACTTCTCCGGGTTGGGAGGCTCAGGCACGTCCCGTGGTCCGAAGGAGCCCGGCCTCGGACCAAAAGATGTACCCCACCACTGACGCCGACTTAGGGAGTCAATTGACGCCGACTTAGGGAGTCAATTGGATCGAAAAGAGCAGGCGAAGAGGGAGCGAAGGTAACTGAAAAATGTCTCCAAACTTGTCTATCATCATTGATATCTATACTCTTGGGCAATGTCTGGCAAGCAGATGCTGCCACACTCAGCCTGGAGCCTTTTGCGAATACAGAGGTTGCGCGAGCCTACTTTGCTGGGATTGTGGCAACCACTTGCCGCAGGAGTGGTTTATCCCAGGCATCCTCTTGCTATGTAGTAAGCTCCTGGTTGAACCAGTATCACAGCACAGCCAGGGCACGGAGACGCTTCAGGAGGACTCGCGGAGCCCATGGCATCGACCAATTTGGAGACATCCGGCATGACCCATTGAGACTGCTCCTGGAAGGGAAGAAATGAAAACGTGGACGCAAGATACATGTTTTTCTTTTTAGCCAGAGGGGGGTAGGCCGCCAGAAAAGGTAGCTAACTTAATAACTTAGCTAGTAGCTATTAAGTAGAACGCTCCTAGGTCCTAGGTAGGACTCCGGATAGCTCACGCTAGTCATTTGGTTCCTAGATGTAGCTGCTGTAGCCCAATGAAGATATTGCTGCTGTAGCTGTAGTCGCCGAAAGGGATCCTGAAGACTTGTGCTAGAATGGACACGATGACAACATCTGTGTGAGGATATATCTTTGCCCCAAAAAAGGGAGCTAAAGTTTGAGCTGCCAACAACCACCGACACTGAGTCCTTCCAGGAAGCACTAGCGGCATTGAAGATCTGGTAGGCCTTTGAGAAAAAAAAAAGGAAAAATGCCAAAACTGGAAGCTGTTCCACAAAATCTGTGCGAAGACATGTGCCCTTCATCGTTCATCTATTCTCACACCTGGACACAACCCCTGTGGCCCATTTTTACAACCTTGGCAAGAACTGTTTTCATCCAGCCCAGAACCAGCCCACCAGACGATCCAGCTGACTCCACCCCACCTTCACCGAGCTCTCCTCCTCCTCGACTTCCAACCGCCAAGTGGGTCGCAGACGCCGACGGGGCACCGCCGGGTTGTCTTCTGCGAGGAGTCAAAACGTGTGATGGCATCCATCATGCGGTCCCCCTCAAATCATGAGATTGTTCAGCACTCATTTGAGTTGAGTCATATGTCTGGTCAATGTCTTTCAGCATCTTTAATCCATTGTGCTTTAATGGCAGCGCCCTCTCACGAATCACACAGACAGTGCCTTTGTCAACAGGACGGCCAAAGTAGCCTCGGATGCGGGTGCAATCTCTGGGGTTGGTGCTTCATTGCTGAACACTTGGTGCTTATCACATCAAAGTCAAGAACAGCAAAATGGCACACCACACAAAGAGGGTTATAAAAATGATGGACGAGGGAAGTTCGAAAAAAAATTTTCATTCAACCTGATTCGAGCCCATCGGTCAAGGTGCTGCGAGTGTTGGGAGCCTGTGTGTCATTGCTCCACACGACCTGATGTCGTTCTTTCCACCTGGCACTGATGTCGCCCAATTGGACAGCCGGTGACTCGAACATAGTCTATGAGCGAGCTCTGTTTTCATTGGAAACACTTCTGACAAAGATGACACATTTGGGACAGACGTTCACTTGAGAATCGTCAGCTTCATCATGTCCACAGCAAAAATACTAATCAACAGGCTGGTCTTTGAAATTTGCATCCGCGTCTCAGGAGACCATAGAAAAATCACGGCAGCCCTTTCAAAGACGCGTGGAGCCACGCTGGCCGTCGTTTGCCCTTGGGCTTTATCTTCGTCTTATCTCCATCCTTTCGTTCAACCGAGGCTCTGGGCGCAAACACCGGTGACAAATTCTATGTTAAGTCTGCTCGCTGACAGCACAATTGCTCGCATTCATGTCTGCATGAAAGCAGATAAACCGGCACATTCCACTAGTGTGAAGCACTCTGCTTGGCCACCTCGAAAAGGTGCAACCCAAATCAGCGTGATATCTCTTGACAAATCGCCACAGTGTCCGTGTCCTTCTCCTTTTCTTTGTCCTTTTCCTCAGGATGAGCCTGCAGAGCCCACCTGAGGGTGTCTCCGCTGAGCTGAAAGATTCAACTGACAAGGCATGACACAAAGTCTGTGGCTCAGCTTCGTGCGACGAATACCTTTCACCAAGTTTCATCCACGAATTGCCCACACCCATGGGGTGTCATTCGGCTAAGATATGCACGGGATGGATGGGCCAACATGCAGCCCGCCAGGATGAAAGGTTGGCCTCAGTGGAGCTCACTGAAACTACGCGAGATCTCAGCGTTTTTGCATGTGACGTCTGCGGAAGTGCAGCAAAGGACTCGTCTGCAGATTAGAAGATGGCCTTCTCCAAATCGTTCCTCTCCCTTGGTGCTTTAAATCCTTGCTGTGCTCAAAAGTCTAAGCTGTCCACGCCACTGTACATTGTGGCATGGCAATCTGCCAATGCTATGTACAAAGAAAGGCACCCACTGTGTGTGCTACGTGATATGTGTGCCTGTACCATTGTCCATCAGAGGGCTCTGAAGAAGATTGCTTCCTACTTTCCTTGTGCCTATCATGTCCATGCTCTTTCTTGAAACTGAGCCTTTCCAAGCTTCTGTGGTGAGACTGGGAGAGGCCGCTTTATCTTTGCTGCTTGCAACATGGCTGAGAAGAATTTGATCGAACATGTAGAAGTGACACCCAAAACCGAGACGATTCTTCTCGGTTTGATCCAGTGCTGGAACGCAGAAAAGGTTGCACCCGCGCGGACTAGACTGGGGGATGATGACAATGGCCTAATCCCGAGCTCCTCGCAAACCTCCTTCGATTGCCAGGGAGCCCCGTTTGGGTTTGGGTTGGCAGTGCAGCACAGGCAAAAAAACTGCAAAACCTTCCTTTGATTGTGCCAGTAGTAGCAGTTCTAAGTATGGCAAATGTCATGAAGCTACCCCTGTATGGAAAAATAAGCACCCAAAAACAACTCTGACCGTTTAACTTCGGCGGAATTCTTTTGTCCATCTTCATCAGACAAAATTACTTTCACCACTTTCACCTGTCCTGGCTGACTAGTCCTCCTGGAAAGAAAAAGAGAGGAGAAAAAAGGAAGGCAAGCCGCCCCTGTGATAAGGCCACTTTAAAGAGACCCTTACCTTCCTCCTTTCTCGTTCATGTTCCACTCTTTCGCAACAAACCAAAACAGGATGGATAGATCGTTCACGAGCGGATGGATCTCTTGCCTGGATGATCATTCCGGCGCCTCGCGAGATGATTGGAGACTCCGTTGGAAAGTCGGAAATACATCGTTGTCAGTTGTCTGACACAACTAAAGGCTCTAGAGCTATGCTGCTCTGTAGAGAAATACATTGTCCCAAAAACTACCTTGAAAACTAGTAGTACGGTAGCTAGTAGGTCAAACAGTGCACATATCCGATATTGAGCTTGTACGTGCATGCAAAGTGCGGGCAATGCTCCAGTGAAAGGTACGTACAATATTATCAATATAACCCAGAAGCCTTTGACCGTGTTCTTGGGACGGAAGGTGATGGTGACCTCAGCCGAGAGTCTGTCTTTGCATGGGGGGTGTTTCAAGTCACCCAAGCCCAGGTGTGTGGACTCAGTAGGTAGGTCATGACGGTCTAAAGCCCTTTGCCAAGATCATTGCTCATATTATATTCTTCTGACAAAAGAAGATGCCAAGGCCTCCAAAAACGTTCGATGCATGCACAATTCAACATGGCTGAGTCATGCTGAGTCACTTGATCTAGATTCGTCCTATTTACTGTCACTCCATCTCCTCCAAGCAGTTTATGCTCCCGTGACTTTCAAGCAGCACTTAGTGCCACACAGGGTTCACAAAGAACGGTTCCCCTGTGACCGTTGTGGATCGCCCAGTAGTCGCAGTCAACAAGGACGCCCTCGCACAGACGGAAACTTCATGTGAAAAAATTGTCCGTTGGAGTCTTGCCCCTCAAATCCCAACAAGTCAAGAACAACATGAATCTAAATGAAAGCAGTGAAACTGTACTTAGGTGCTGTGTTCAGCCTCTGAGGTTATCAGTTCGGTCCTGGTGAAGGTCCACAGCATAAAACCCTCGAAGGGATCAGAGGATTCGCCATTGAAGTCGAGGGTCCACCTCAGTGTTGCCATTTCCACAGGGCCGCGTAAGGCCGTTGCGGCCGTGCAGGGCGGACAATTATGCAATGTTGGTGTTGATTCTAATGAAAAGAGCTGCAAATTAAGACCCTGAAGGTGGTGGGTTGAGACCATTCCGTTTCAGTTCAGTGGGTCAGCTGCTCAGCCCAGCAATCAATAGAGGCAGGACCAGGACTGAACTGGAAGCCACTGCTGGCGGCCCGCGCTGGTTGTCAAGAGGCTGTGTCGTTGGATTGTGCAGCGGTGCTACCCGGATCGGGTAGAACAGCTCCCTCAACAGACCTGCAGCGTGTGCACTTATCGGTACCCCGATCTACGCTACCAACATCTCTACCACTAATCCGTGTCATTGTTGAGAACATTGATTGGGGATGATTTTGGGCCAACTATCAACTTTGAAGGTATCACTATCACTGTTCCTACTCAAAGTTCAAGGGGAGCTTGGGAGATTGCTCATTCAGAGGCGCTTCCCCATCTCTGAGGGGTGCACCGTCGCTGACTCCCGGGTCTATCAAGATCCTGCGGTTGTCAGCTTCAGCCAAACAGCCGAGGACTTTGTCGTGGTCACCAATGTTTGATCTCAAGCAGGTTGCAGCTATGAGGAGAAGGATCTCGGTCCTTGCATCTGGTCCTTCCCCTCTGCAGCTCACCACTGCAACACCCTGCGGCCACTGAGCATACCTGAGGCAGGGATTAGAGATGCTGTCCTGCTGCATTGAGACTTTGTGCCACACAATCCCCTCGTTCAACATTCATGTTTCTAATTGGTGAGCATTGGGGCACTCCGAAGGCAAAGTTTGGCCAGTGCCAAAGACCTGGAGGCATGTAGGCGAGGCAACCAAATGTCCCATTTCCAGTTATCTATGAGTTTATGAGTCTATGAGGATGTAAATTGATAGCTAAACCTGCGACTTGCACATGAGAGATACTGTAGACTTCCTTAAGATTGAAACTGCTTGCAGAATCAACCTGCAGTATGACCTGAGCAAAGCAATCCTAGATCCACTCCACCAAGAAATGGGAAGCACCTGCAGCACCCGGCCTCATTGGGACGCACCTCCACATCCTCCCCGCAGTCTTCACGGAAGATCGTCCCCAAAGGCCCCCTGTGACACAAATCAGATTGCGCCTGTGCACTTCCTGGAAACCAACATGTCTACTGATGCAGAATAAGAATGGACCACCTGCGTGGTTTTTTCCTGACACTTTATCTACTGTACTACTCTGTCCAAAGCATGCGATCAACTAGCAGCTGCCCTTCCTTGCCTGACGAGCATGTCTGCAGGCAGAACTACCGTGTTCGCCAACTTGAACCTTGGCACCAAATAGGCCGGTGGAGGCCATCACTACTAGTAACAATAAAGCTGATGCTGCGCCGACTTTGGCGCTTGAAAGCTTCAAGCGTTTGACCATGACTTCCAAGGCTCAGGCGCAAATATCAGCGGGTTTCGGCTGTTGGGCCGGTCCTCGGCAAAAGAGCTGACACACGGAAGCTGAATGGACGTTGAAGCAGTTGTGCATGTCATATCAGAATTAATCAGATGATATGGGCATAGGACCAAAGTCAAAAGGATTGCAAAGTATTTCATTTCAGCTTTCGTTCCTGATACCCAGCAGCTTTTGAACTCTGACACAGGCTGATCACCACGAATCTGAGAAGGTTGCACGCCAAACGAAGTGCATCCATCCCTAAACATTCTATATAATCTATATACATCTACATACCTACAAAAATATAGATCCAGGTCAGTACCGAAATGTAGTTTCCTTTGCGACTGGCCACGATTTTGCAGTTTAGAGCGTCTTGACTCAAATGACTAGCCTGAACTAGCCATCAGCAGACCTTGCAAAGCTCAATCCACCACCAACCTTTGGGAGCCCTGAGAGTGGTTGGTCAGGCTCCGGCATCCCGCAGACTTGCAGCCTTATGCATGGTGGCATGGTAGATTTGGCATCCAATGTATATATATATATATATATCTGGGTGTCAAATGGTGTGAAACTCACTTTGTCCCTTTCGAAGCATTAGGAAGCAAAGTACTCTTGATTACACACCATGTTCGTATGCGTGGGTGTTTGTTGTTTCTATTTCTTTTGGAACCTAATTAGTGTTTCTAGTCCTAGTGCTTCTAGTAGCGATGCCCTTTGTTACTAGTAGCTTCTTTGCTCCTAGTAGTAAGGCCACGTGCCCCTAGTAGCTTCTGGAGGCTTCTAGAGGTCAGATTCAGACGGCAAAGGTTCTTTCAGACTCGAAGAGTGACGGCGCTTCCGTTCGTCAGCGTCCCCGTCCGACTGAAGGCTCGCGCTTGCTGTTCCCGGGTGATGGTCGGGAGGAGCGCCTGTTGTTCTGCAGAAAGGAAGCCATGTCGGGTGACAACGGTGACAACGAGAATTGGGTGACCTCTCAGGATCATTTGACCTTCGAAGACCCTTCATCCAGACTGAAGACAGGCATCCACTGGAGACTGGGAACAAAAAAGAAATAGCTTGGAATGGCCATGTGGAATAGGCTTCGCGAACATTGCCTCGACCATCTTAGAGTTGATGGTGAAGGATGGCACGCTGATCATGGCGTCCAGGCGTGAGTTCATGTTGTTGAGATCCTGGAATCACAAAGCAGCAGCTAGCTACCTACTAGCTTCTTGCTACTATATAGTAGCGATGGCCTCCAACCTACAACCTAGTAGCGATGGCCTCCTAAATCAAATCGAAACTGATCGTTTATAAAAGGGAGAACCCGTCAAAGCTTGTGCCTCTAGTGAGTGGAAATCCCAGCAGTGCTGCCGCATGCAGGGCCTGAGGCAGTGTGGAGGTCAGTATGTTCCTCTTGATACTACTTAAACTAAGCTCGCGTTCAAACAAAAAAGTGGTCTCTTGATAAAACAGTAAACTGCGGAAGCACCCCTGCTATGAATATACTATAGACTATAGCTGTAGCTGTTACTGTAGCTTTGAGCTATGCTGTGATTAAAGCCCCGTTCGGAAAGGCCATACGCAAACTGTAGCCATCCCCATGTGCAGTGAAGAAGCTTGCTGTTGTCAACGGGGTTTGGCATCACCTGGTCTCCGGTCTTGACAAAAATGCCAAACAAGCAAATTCAATGTGTATACATGACACGCAATGATAAATATAACAAGTATTGAGGATTTGCTTCACAGTTCGGAACTCACAGAGACTGGACTCATTAAATGCCAGGGTCCGCAGACTGTCATACTCACATGTACTCACCGGATCTCTGTGCGAAGCAAGTCACAGTCGATGGATTTTTGCCCAAGATCTGGAAGCGATACAGCCCAGGCCTGATTGCATGCTGTCTCTCAGGTAGTTTTGGGGCAGGTAGAATACTCACAATCCACTGAGACATCTCAAATAATTCGTTGGTTGTGTTTGTGTAGGCTGGTGGTGCTTGCAGCACTTTGAAGCTCCGAGTTTCGGTCTGCTGGTATTTTGTAGCACTTTAGTGAGAGTTTTGAGGCAACATTTTGAGGCTCTGGGTGTCTAATTCCTTGGTATTTGCATTGCTTGGAGCATGGATGGTGTGTTGATGTCCAAAACATAATATAATATATGTAAATTTTGTAATAAAATGTACTATATATACTATATATATATATATCATTGGTTCGAAGCTATGTGTCTTTTGATACATATCATTCTTGGTGATAGGCATTGAGTTGAATGTGCTTTGACCTACTACAAGTTCTGATGGCTGGATCCAGAGCAAGGGGCTTTGTGGGTGACGCATGTGTGCTTCCACACTGAGGAACCCGGACGCCATGCCTGATGCTCCAGCAGCTATCCTGGTGCTCCAGAAGGTCTTGAAGATTTACAACAAGCAAGCTCATCTACACAAGGCCTTCAGAAGTGTGAGGGTGTGGAGCAAGTCAGAAGGGGCCCTTTACATGTTCTGTGCAGGGTCTGAGAGCTCACAACAACTGTCACAGTGTCAGGCATCCATCTTCCAGTCTCCTTGATCGGGAAAAAACCTGACCTCTCATTTGAGCTGTGATGTGGGAGCTGAGGGATGGCTAATGGAAGAAAAATAAGAAAGCCTCTTGGAAGCATAGTCATGGTCATCATTTATATATATATATATATTTCAGAGTCCACACGTGACGCATGCCAGGGACCTTTCATAGCTCGAGGAGAAAGAGCCCGCGGGTTCACCTCCCTCGGTAGGGAGTGCTTTTCCGCTATTGGTAGCGGAGCCCGGTACCAATCCGCGCTCCCGCACATGGTTATTGGGCCCCTTGGTGGGGGCCGTCACACGTGACGCTGGATGGCGTCGTCTTAGTCGCAGGCTGGAGAGTCGGCTTTCGTGAAGGGGTTCTCAGGAGAGAATGAAGATGGTAGAGAGTACAAAAGATGGAAGACCTGGGCGCAAAACAAGTTTCTCACGCTGGACAAGCTCCCGGAAAATTCCCGAGGAGCATACATCTACACCCTGCTGAGTGGCAAGGCCCTTGAGGCCGTGGAGCATTTGGAGCCTGAGGCCTACCAGAAGAAGGACGGCGATGCAGTCCTTTGGGCCTTGTTGGACAAGCGGTTCCCTCAGTTGGAAGTGGTGGATGAGCTGGGTGAGATTTTGGGCCAGGTTTTTGGCCTTCGGTCTCAAGAGGGAGAAACGATGAAGCAATGGACTGCAAGAGCATCTGACCTGTTTGACAAATGTCACCGAAAGACAAGTGTTCAGTTCCCGGACGAGGCCCGGGGCTGGTTGTTGCTTCATCGAGCTGGACTGTCTGAGGAGCAGAAAGCGGTGGTCATTGCTCGGGCCAGAGGAGACCTCAAGCGGGAGTCCGTCGCCGCTGCATTGAGGTCTTGCTACCCTGAATTGGCGATTAGCAAACGGCGGACAGCCGTGGCATTGGCTGAAGATACTCCGGCTGAGCCGGACGCTGAAGCTGAGTACTGGGAAGAACAATTCTCACTCTTGGAGGATCACCAACAAGAGGGCTCCGACATTCCTGCCGATGCTGACACCTTCCAGGAAGCAGAGGTGGCCGAGGTCCTGGCGGCGACTTGGAAAGAGCGCCGACAAGAGCTGAACCGACTGCAGAAGACCAGACAGTTCGCCAAGGCCAAGGAGGTCAAGAGATCTTTTCGGGTGGAGGTTGAAGAGATGAAGAGACACTCCACTTGCAATCGATGTGGTTGCAAGGGACATTGGGCTCGAGAATGTCGGGCTCGTGATGTCAAAAAGGAAGCTGGGAAGGGTGACCACCTCCACCGGATCCACGTCCGGTGCAGCTGTGGTTGAGGATTTTGATTTTGTGGCCATGGTCACTCCGGTTCCATACATTGAGCAATGCATTGAGCAAGTTGATGTGTTGACAACAGTTGACTACATTGAGCCAGTTGATACAGCAGTTGATTACATTGAGCAAGTCGGTACATTGACAACAGGTGATTACATTGAGCAGGTTGTTGCGCAAGTTGCATCCGTCGGAACAACATTGACATTGTTGGAGCGTGCCCGGTTGCAGTTTGCTTGGAAATCACCTGTGGGAGATACCCCTGACGCGTCTTCCGTCTTGCTGGTGTTCTGGACTCAGGCTGCGGTCGAACCATTGTGGGACAGTCCACTCTCCGGAGTTTCGAGCAGCTCTGGCGCCAGCGGGGCTGGTCTGTACCTGAACGCCTGCCGGAGGTTCATCAGTTCAAGTTTGGAAATGGGGCTGTCGAGACATCGCAATTCGCGATCCAGATGCCGGTGGTGTTGGCTGGAAAGCGGGGTGTGATTCGTGCTTCCATCATCCGTGGAGATGCACCCCTGTTGATCAGTCGATTAGCGTTGAAGCGCCTTGGACTTCACTGGACTTCAAACGTGACTGTTTGCAAGTGTTTTGACACCACGGTACCCCTCCAAACAAACAGCGCTGGTCAATATGTTGTGAACCTAGTGGGGGAACAAGAGAGTTCGCACGCAGCATCCTTCACCGAAGTCATGGCTCTGGAGCCTAAGCCGGAGTCCGAGGGTGAAGACGACCGTTCAAAACACGACGAACCCGATGCGCCGCCCATGCCTGCCGATCAGTCATCCATGGAGCATGATCCAGTGCCTGAGGCCCGTCCAGAACCGGTTCGTGTGTGGGTTCAAGAGCATAGTGATTCGTTTCCACACCTTGGCTATCTAGGTCGAGCCCCCCATGGATATGGATTCGTAGGAGAAGGGTGTTTGATGAAGAGAGTAAACAGGTGATAGATGATAGTGTGGTCATCCCTGGCCATCCGCGATCAAGAGCATTCGTCGCCTCACTCGAGTTGAATTCGAGTATGTAGGTTCCATGGAGGTTGAACCAGAAGGTCAAGTATTCACGGCTCACAAACAGCGTCGCCTCGAACACGATGCCAAAGCATGTTGCGCTGTATTAGCTAAACACTCGTCCGAGCGATGCATGGTCATGGAAGTGTTTTCGCCGCCTCGGTTCGCCATAGAGGTACAAAAGCATGGACTTAAGGCCCGGTCGTATGATCTAGCCACAGGGTTCGACTTCCGTCGCGCCACCGACAGGAGAAGGGTGGAAACTGACCTTCACCAAGACCCTCCTGAGTTGCTGATCCTGTGTCCTCCGTGCACGGATGAGGGAGGCTGGTTCAATTTGAACTGTCGACGCATGGATCGCCTCGAACTGTTGAAACGCATGGCCGTGAGTCGAAGTTACATCCGTTGGTGTTGCAAACTGTTTCGCCTAGGGGTTCAATTAGGATGTAAGGTGCTATTCGAACATCCCACAGGAGCAAGAACATGGTCATACCCAGAGATCCAAACACTGTGTCGTCGTTTCTTTAGCACCAAGCTTCACCTGTGCAGGTACGGACTGAAACTTCCTGAATCTGACAGGTTCATTCGCAAGAGCGCTCGCCTGCTCCTGTCTCACGATACGATGTGCACACTGGGGCTATTGTGTCATAAGACCGGAAGCCATACATGTCATGATATCGTAGCTGGAAGTGCACCAGGAGTTGAGAGTGTTAGCAAGTTCGTAGGAGCGTACCCCATACCCTTTGTCCGTGCAGCGCTAACTCATTTGCCTAGTTGGTCCACAAGTGTTGGTCACACCCCCAATGAGGTCTCTGAGTCAGCCGAAGTCTGCATGATTGAAGTCATTGAGGATATGCTTCCGGCTGATCAATGGCCGGCTGTGGAAGTGTGTGCAGCGCACCAAGTTCAGGGCAAGTCTGACCAAGAGCTGGTTCCGATTTTAGCCAAACTGCATCGTAACCTGGGTCACCCTCCCAATTGTGATTTAGTGAGAATCCTCCGTCATGGACAAGCCAGCGAACAAGCTCTCAGGCTCGCCCGAGAGTTTTCCTGTGAATTCTGCAGAAGCCAGGTTAAGCCCAAAGTGCCGTTGCCGTCACAGACACATAGGGTGACTACGTTTAATCACCAGGTAGGACTCGATGTAAAGCATCTCAATGGCCTAGCGTTGAATGTGGTGGATACTGCCAGTGGCTTTCAGCGTGTGGTTCCGTTCTCTGAAACGGAAACAGCCGTACTCCTGCGACGCCTGTTCAGTGAGCATAGACCCTGCAAAGACCAACCTCGGAGACCCCATGGTCATCCCTGCCGAACTAGAAGGGTCACAGATCCGACCAATCGCCGCGGGCGCTCACTGGCAACTCGGCAAGTGCGAATCTCATGGAGGCTGGTTTGGTCAGATCTTGGACAAGCTCATCGATGATTTTTCTCCCACGTCGCAAGCCGAATGGTTGGAGTGTGTGGCACATGCACATGTGAAGAATCAACACTTGCAGGTTCATGGGTTGTCGCCGCATCAATTTGTCTGGGAAAAACCCCCATATTGCCCAAGATCTTCTGAACGAGCCACTAGATGTAGTTCCAGCCACAGCTTCTCTGGCTGATGAAGGCCTAGCCCGATCTCAAGCCATGAGAACAGCAGCTAGACAAGCTCTCATCCAAATGCAGGATGATCGAGCCCTTAGAGTGGCCTTCCTTGCTCGACCCAGAGTGACCATGCCATTCAGTCCAGGTGATCTTGCCGCATACTGGCGTAATCAGAAATGGGTAAACGGAACCTTGCAAAACGGTGGTCAATGGTACGGAGTAGCAGTAGTGCTAGCATGTGGGTCGCAATCTCATAGTTGCGCGTCGCCGCCAGATCTTTCGCTGTGCCCCTGAACAGGTCCGACACGCCACCAGTGAAGAGAAGTGTTTGATCGCCACTCCTCAAGCCGAACTGTTGGGAATCAAGGATATGATAGAGAAAGGTAACCTATCAAGTAAGCAGTATATCGACCTGTTGCCTCAGTCATACCCTCCACAAGGTGATGAAGCCGGACCCTCAATGTCTCTGAAAGATGAAGACACCCCTGCTGTAAATCCTCCAGAGAACGCAGCGAGGCCTGTGCTCACTGATCAACCACAAGAGCCAATGATTAGCCAAAATCAGGGTCCTGAAGCGGTCTCTCCGGAGGTGGAACAATCAGATGCCGTGCCCGCACCAGACGAATCAAGTTCGTCGTATGGGCCAATTCGTCGTAGGGTGACTGGAAAAGATGGTCCCTTCTCCCTGTGGCGACCAGCTGCGCTCAAACAAGAGGATTTCGTAGACATAATCAAAGAAGTCGCGCCAACAGTTGGTTGAAGATGCATGTATGGAACAAAGCAAACGACCTCGTTCGCCCACAATGGAAGCGTCTGAGCCAGCGGCCTCTCGGCCTCGGTTAGAGCCTAGTGATGAATCCTTGAGTGTTCAGGCCGTGTCTGACCTGTTGGACATTGCTGAATCTCAGCCGTGGGAATGTCTCATGGCAGAGTACCTCCAACGCAAGGTCTCCAAGGAATTGCCTCACAGTCGCAATCCCCCTGATCTTCAGAAAATGGTAGATATGGGAAAACGAAGTGAATGGGACACCATTTCGTCCAAACCCCATGCTGTGAAGATTCACTATGGAAAAAGGGCCCAAGAAATCAAGGACACCCAAGCACATCGTTTCATAGGCAGCCGGTTTGCGTTGACACGAAAACCGATCGAAGAAGGCCAAGGTGAACCCTGAAGATCTGAACGCGTTCACCGTGAAAGGACGGTGGTGCCTACAAGGCCACTTGGATCCCGATTTGTCCGCCAAGGCAGAACTCGGTATGTTGAAGTCTCCGACACTTAGTCAACTCGGCAGGATGCGCCTCATGCAAACGATAGCATCACATAAGTGGGAGCTTCAGTTCGGCGATACAAAAGGAGCATTCCTCGAGGCCGGCCCCTGAGTGATGAATTCCGCCCGCTCTTCGCCCACCAGCCAGCTGGTGGTATCCCTGGACTTCCTTCGGACGCTGTGATAGAGATAACTGGAAATGTCTACGGACAGAACGACGCCCCGTCCGCATGGTTCAAAGAGTTTAGCGGGTTCGTCAAATCGATAGGGTGGCACCAGAGTGCCAGAGTGTTCTAAGGCTCGTGGGTATCATGGGAGTGCACGTCGACGATACCGCCGTAGGCGGCCATGGTCCGATGTTCAAAGAATCCATTGAAAGCATTCGAAAACGGTTCCCATATAGAAAATGGAGAGGAGAGTTCTGTGGCGCATGGTACAACCAAGGTTCCGACTTCTCGATACACATGAGTATGGAATTGTTCACGGACAAGCTTCGCCCCATCAATGTGCCCAAGAACACAAAACCGGATGATCCACTGTCAGCCTCGCAAGTCAAGATTCTTAGAGCAGTGAACGGAAGTCTGAACTGGTTGTCCTCTCAGGCCCGACCGGACCTATGTGTGCAAACAAGCCTGTCGCAACAGGCGTTTCCTCGTCCGCGGATTGAAGACTTCCGCAGGGCTAAGCAGAACAGTCAAATGGGTGTGACCTTTCCTTCCATCAAATAGTGATGCTGCTTTCGCAAACAGGGGAAATCACACTCAAGCAGGCTATATCGTAGGATTCACTGAGAACAAGCTTCAAGATGGTCATGAAGCCCATTGGTGTCCTGCAGCTTGGAAGAGCTACAAGCTAGCTAGAGCAGTCAGTAGCACCTTGGGAGCAGAAAGTCAGGCCTTGTCAACAGCCACCGGCACAGTGGAATGGGTGTTGTTGATGCTCGCTGAGATCCTTGATGGACCTCTGACTGTCCGCACCTGTCGTGATGTCCTGAAAAGACGAAGGCCGATCATCGTCTCCGATTGCAAGAGTTTGTACGATCATCTTCATTCTCCATCTTCACCTACTGCAGTAAATGATCGTCGCGCGAGCATTGACATCGTCATCATTCGTGAGAGCTGCCGTGCCATGACAGCTCATGTTCGATGGGTTCCGACAAACCGCATGTTAGCTGATGGCCTCACTAAAGATGAAGGGGATCCCATAGACCTGTTGAGAGGATGCATTCGTCGCTCCAGCTACCAGATATCTCCCGAAGAAACAGTGTTGGAATACCAGGCTCATGAAAAAGAACTCCGGAGGGCTAAGAAAGAAACTCCCTCCAAGTGTGATGAACAACCTCCACCAGAGCTGTGAAGAATTCAATGGTGAGTGTTTTTGAGATGAGTTTTTGTGAGGGTCAGACTGTTTTTCAGTATTTACACAAAGACTGCAATGCACAAAGGGGTACACTGTGCGAGCACAGTGGTGTTCGGCATGTTCGTCGCGTTTCGATATCGTAGAAGCGTTGTTTTTGACTCTGAAGCACACCTTCTGTTCGAAGCAGTTGACACCCGTGTGCAGTTTCCTCCTAGTCAAAATGACTAGTACGCGCCCGAAGTTGTCGCCAGCCCTGAAGAGCTTGTTAGACCAGGTGAAAGCCGAAGGTCTCACTGGCCTTCTTCTCCATGAGTTGGAGAAGGATGGAGAGCTCGAGTTTGAGATGGTTGCTGCATCTCCCGAGAGGATTCGAGATGAGTCCGGGACTATGTCTGACGCAAGCAAGCGTCGCCTCACGGCTGAGACAGCCGGTGAGGTTCCAGCCTCGATCGCCTATGCCAAGGCCATGCCAGCGGCTCGCCAGAAGTCTGGCCAAGGCAGTGTCTCTTTTCCTCCAGGCATTGACACCCTGGCCACTTGGGGAAAGACCCTGATCGAGACGGGCAAGTTCGGGAAGGCGAACTTGTCATACGAGGAACTCAGCTCCTCGACCGATCGTGAGAAGCAGTCGTACTGCCGGTGGATGGTGTCCCAGCGGCATCGAGACAATCTCACCCCCATGGTGAGGGATTTGGTGGACTATCTCACGGCGGTGACCGAGATCGATGAAGAGAACCACACGACATACCCCGGAACCTCATCGGTCCGCAAGTTATAGGCGATGACAGAAGGTCGAGATGGCTGCAGGTGTTGAGCTGAAAAGATTGGAGTTGTTCGACGAAGAACTATGAGATTGAGGAATCCGGAAGCACCCTACTCCAGTCGCCTTTTTGATTTTAGAGTTTTAGCAGTTTCAGAGTCCACACGTGACGCACGCCAGGGACCTTTCATAGCTCGAGGAGAAAGAGCCCGCGCGTTCACCTCCCTCGGTAGGGAGGGCTTTTCCGCTATATATATATATATCCCATGCTCTTTTGTGCCGCTTCCACTATATAGAGATTCATTCTTGTCCTTGCCGCCTGCCAGGGCATACCTTTTCAGGAGGGGACAACTACCTGTGCCCACGCCCATGGCCGTTCAGCCGCCCGGCCTGATGACTGACCGTCCCATCGGCGCTGTGCCCATCTGGAAGGTGCAGGCCACATCCATCGGCAAACTCAGGCGCAGTTGGCCGGGGCGGCATCGGAGTGAAACCACGGGTGACTTCGCCGCCAGGATTCAGGTGAACTGGAGCACTCGTGAGCGTGCTACTGAGGTTGAAAGAAAGATGTTCTTTTCAGGGAGAATCAGAATCATGACCTCAAAAACTGAATTGCCAAGAACTGTCACATCAAGCCTCATCACTTTGGAGACCATGGGCTCCACTTGATAAGTCGATCCTCTTGCCATCGATGCAGCCTGCTGGCAGGCCAGAACCGCGTTAGTTGGCCGAGCAGCTTCAGGAACTCCAGTAGATGACGAAATCGGAAACATCCCCACTAAAGACCATGATCCATGGACTTGAGGATGACTAACACATCAATAATCTACTGACCACTAATGAAGAGGCCAAGTTTGGGACTCAAAGTCCTCGGGCCGTAGCCCGGCCAAGAACTTTGGGGGATGAGAGACATGCCAACGTCCAACAGCATACAAGCAGCATGCCAAAATCATTCCAAACACAGGAGCGCAAGATCAAAGCACTTTGCCTGCCTGGGGTTGACAAGGGTTCGGAAATTCAAACCCCAAGGGCCCTTCGATGATGATTCCGCCTCCTTGTTGAACCTGCAGGTGCGAAGGTGCGAAGATGGATCAAGGCTACAAGCAGTACTCAAGCAACTAAGACCAAGCCGGTTGGTTTTGCAGCCAAATTTGCACTCATGGCCGGGAACCGATTTCTCAAGTGATCAAATGGCCTCCGTGACGGTCTGGATCTGGAAGGTGATTGTATTGACCTATCGACATTGACAAAGCCAACGACTGTGCCACAAGTGGATGTTCCTTGTGAAAAACATGACCGCAAGACTTCTAGTTGCTGCATAGTCAGTACCCAAAGAAATGAAGAAATGGAAGGCATGGCGTGGCTTAGTTTTGATCCACACTGACATCTAAGGACTCATGTCCTTTGTGTGGAAGCAGAGAAGTACAAGGACCATGGCCAACTCGCTTGCCAGAAGTGCACACACTTCTTGATGAAGACATCCAAATCTATGCCCAGGCTCTGTCTGCAGCACCGAACTTCTAAACCCACCAAGGAGGGTGCGGTGTGATGGGTGGGCTGTGGGTGTTTGCCTACCTTGGTTTCGACGTTCGTCTTGTATTCCAGAACGGCATTGGTTAATGCTCGCACTTCTGTCGCCGGGACCTCAGAGTGCGAAACAAAAGCCAAAAATTACACGCAAAGAAACCGAAAGCATGCAATTGCTGAGGCCTGAGGCTCATCTTTGGTCTATTTGAAAGTTCAACAGCTGAGAGTCTAATGAATGACAAAAGAGATGTCTCTGTCTGAGGTCATCTTCGGTAGCATTTCCCTTCGTTCCCCCGAGCTTGGAACCATGGAGGCTGCGTGCCTGCTCTGCAAGCTGGTCCCTTCCTCAGACGCTTGAAACCCTTTGCCAAGTGCAGGGCCACTTAAAGGCAGCACAAACCAATGTTCTGAAGGGAGAGTTGCTGCTTCATGCTGTTTGGCCTTTTCGTACTAGAACTGTGCAAGCGAAGCTTTTGCTAGTTGCTTTCTGCAAGAAAGGGCCGGGCTGGGATTCAAAACTAAAAAAGGTGTTTGGTGGCGCTCACCTCACCGTGCGGCGACTCTTTTCATTGATGCGAATCAAGAGTGACAACTGGTGACAGGGACTCCAGCACGGCGACTCCTCCAGCCCCACAAGTGATCTCCGCAAAGCCACAAACTCCCGTGGAAGGGTGTTGACTTGTCCGTCTCTTCACCACCGGTCTCGGCTTCCAAAAGGCTCACTGCCTCTGACCGCAGTAGGAAGCCATGAGCGCCGCAGAAGGGACAGGGCTCGGAAGGGCTTGGCTGGGAGGTCAGGATGGCAGCCAAGTCTTCTAACAAAGGCTTGTGGCACAGCCCAAACACATGTGCACGTGGCATCCGAGCAGGTTGATCGTCCAAATACCTCCCCACGCGAGTTCGTGATGTGTTGGCGGTCTTGTTCACCTCAAGGGCATCAAATGGATCAGTCCTGCTGACTATCCTACCTACCGGGGAGGTATCGATGATAGATTGCTGTGAGAAGTGAGAACTGGAAACTTTACGTTGATGATCATTGTTTGGAGCCTGCCTGTTCACAGAAGAAGGTCTCCACTCCCAACTCCGTTACGGTCTTCCCTGAGATACACAAGCGATGGCAAGGAAGGGACAGGCTGATGATGTTCTGCGCCATGGAGCTGCGCCCACGCCATAAGGTCCCAAAGCCATCGATGACATGGGCTTCCTCATGGCGAAGTTCAAGGCCAGGCACCTCATCCAGCTGCTGTTCCAGCTCGGCCTGGAAATCACTGCTGGGACGTAGCTGCATAAGCACTTGCGGTGCTAAATGGGCAGGGACTCCCATGTTGGCCAGCAACGTGCTAAGGAGCGGATGTTGGGATGATCCCACATTTCCTAGCATGAAGCTCTGCCAACCTGTCGCGATGTCAGATCGCGTGAAGCCTGCTCCTTGGTAGAAGGCAACCCCAGCACAAAGCGGGCAGAGCGGAAGCAGCTTCTCTGGACTCTCAGTAGTGGGAGAGGTCGGCCAGCGAATCAGTTGTTTCAGGATGAGTCGGTAGTCTACATTGGGCCACTGCTGCACTGGTAAAGCTTCAGTGGATGGTCTGGCACCCAAGGGCAAGGCGATCAAATCAGACTTCGAGAAGCGATCGGCCTCTGGGAGTTGGACCTCTAGACCTTCAGGCAAGCGAGGCGACGTCGACAATCGCTTGGAAAACTGCGAGTCAGGGATACTAGCAACAAAAAGATACTAGTAACAAGGACGCTATTAGGTGGAGGCCATCGCTACTA